TTGATATGTAGACATGAGATCGCTGGTCGGTCTCCCGCTAAAACATGCCACCCGCTCAGCGTTTTTGTTTGTGGAACGATTACTTTGCGCAAAGCAGAATTTATACGCTAAGCTAGCCCGCATTTTAGATTAATGCATTGCAAGCTGGGTTATCTGTGATTGTTCCGGATTTCTGGCCCGAATTTGGTAGAATAAGTTAGGTTAGTTTATGCGCGTCAAGTGATCTACGTCTGTGCAGGTCATTTGGCGCTGCTGTTTACACATAGGTTAAGTTAGTTGCGTAGTTATAGACGATAAGTTAGCATTAGGTCTGTGAGCAGGAGATTGTTTTTTTTTGAATACTATAAATTAAAGGTCATCGGTGTTGTTGCTTTCTCCCAGTTTGGTGTGACAAGAACGTGGAGGATGTCAGACGGGACTTGAGCCCTGGGGGTTTTTTCTCGGTGCTTTTCTTCTTGGCTCGCTTGCTTGGCATGGGGTTTCGCTTGAGAGTGGTTTGCATATGGCCCAATGGCATTAGCTGGGGTCTGCCGCAAGGCGTAACTTTTGCATGTCAGTCTAGGTTTACGAAGTTTCACTTGGCCCTGTGACTTGGCCTTTCTTAATGGCCAAAACCGACCACGTCATAATCGGTGCTGACTTCATTCACCATTTCAAACTCCTTATAGACTTGTAGATCCGTTCACCAAAATTTCAATATCTGGCAAGCCCAACCATTCCGCCATCAGTTTGGTACGCACGCTAGATTCGAAATGCGAGTACTTCAATATTCTCAGCCACTTTCCTGAACGTTTCAACGCTTCATCCATGAGGTTCTAAATGGTCTAGATTTTTGTTTCCCGTACATCGACGACGTTTTGATGGCATCAAAAGATCACGATCAGCACCGCGAACATATCACGGAGGACTTCAAACGTCTCGATAAATACGGCCTGACAATAAACCTTGAAAAATGTGATTTTCAAAAATCGCACGTAACGTTCCTAGGATACGATGTTTCAGCCGAAGGATTGAGCCCGCTACCCGAAAAAGTAGCGACCATCGCTAACTACCCTGTCCCAAAATGTTCCGGTGAATTACGAAGGTTTCTTGGAATAATTAACTTCTACAGACGTTTTATCCCAAATGCCGCACACCATCAAGCTCAACACTACAAATTGCACAACAACTGCAAAAAGAGCGACAAAACCCCGATCCAATGGACTCCCGAAACTCTGAAACATTTTAACCAGTGCAAACTGGATTTGGCAAATGCCACCCTACTGGTACACCCTTCACCCTCAGCGGAAATCGCACTTACGGTTGACGCATCCGACTTCGCCATGGGCGCAGTAGTAGAGCAACTGCAAGGGGATAGTTGGAAACCGCTTAGTTTTTTTTCAAAAAAATTTAACCCAGCTCAAGTTAAATATAGCACTTATGACCGTGAACTTTTCGCCATATACTCGGCAATAAAATATTTCAGGCACATGCTTGAAGGCAGGTCGTTCAAAATATTCACGGATCACAAGCCTTTAACTTTTGCTTTCGTCCAGAAATCGGACAAAGCGACTCCCCGATAAACCCGCCACTTGGATTATATTGGTCAATTCTCCACCAATATAATACATGTCAGCGAAAAAAACAACATTGTCGCTGATGCACTTTCACGTTTAGAGGTTATTAATACACCCCAGGGCATCGATTACGATACCCTACACTCACATCAAATAAACGACCCGAAACTCCAAAAAATCCTGAGCAACCCAGAAACTACCTCGCTAGTTCTCAAGGAACTTTCACTTCCTAACTCTTTGGCACTCATTTGGTGCGACGTTCGTACTTCTAAAGCCCGCCCATTCATTCCATTGACTTTTCAGGCGACAGATTTTCACAAAATTTCACGGATTCAGTCACCCAGGAACCAAAGCCACAACAAAATTAATCACATCACGTTCTGTTCTGTTTTTGTGGCCCTCCATAAAAAASGGTGGGGGGGCGAATGGTCAAGGTCATGTGTAAACTGCCAAAAGTGCAAAGTCCAGAAACACACGCGCACCCCGTTCCAGAAATTCGATGCYCCAGACGAACGTTTCCAGACAGTATATATAGATATCATATACCCACTACCTTCTTCTAATGGTCACTCCTACTGTCTGCCCTGTATCGACCGCTTTTCTTGTTGGGCTGAAGCTTCCACTTCAAGACATTTCTGCCGAAACTATCGCTTCAGTTTTTTTCGCAAATTGGATATGTCGTTGTCGTTGGAACACCTGCGTAAATCGTTACCGATCAGGGCCGTCAGTTTGAAAGCTCGCTTTTCAAATCCCTCGCTCTCCAAATGGGATGTAACAAAGTTCGATCTTCGCCATACCACCCACAGACAAATGACAAAATCGAGAGATGGCATCGAACTCTAAAATCGGCCATTATGGCACACGCCAACCATCGCTGGACAGACAGGAGCGGATCCAGCTTTCGAGTCAGGGGGGGGGGTCAAGTAGTAGAAATTCAGTCTTTTGTTGTCCATGAAATTAGAAAAATTCTAGTTGTTAAAAACCCAGCACAAGGGGGGGGGGTCATGACTCCCATAACCCCCCCCTGGATCCGCCCTTGTGGACAGATATCCTGCCCACTGTACTCCTGGGCTTGCACAGCACGGTTAGGGAAGATATATGTGTCACTCTAGCAGAAATGCTATATAGAACCACATTACGTCTCCCAGGCGAATTCTTTAAATCCTCTAAATCCTCAAGCGACCCACTGTCTTTCACCTCCGAATTGAAAGGGCAAATGGAAGTTCTCTTGTTGCGTAATCTTTCCGATCAGAATATAAATCCTAATTCATATCAACTAATATCATCTTTCAAAACGGCAGTTATTACAAATTTAATTACTCCAACTTGCAATCGCAATCGTGAAAAAGATGACGTAACATTTTACAGGACTTTTCAAATAATTAAACTGACTATTGGGATTTTATCTCCTGCAGTGTACTTGATACAAAAGTTCCACAATTGAAAAAAAACCTTTATTTTGTAATTGAACAGTTCGAACTACTCCTAAATCATTCTATCAGTTTCACACTTGTTAACCTTACTGTCAACTTCCTCCAATAATCCAATTTCAAATAAATCCAACACTAACGATTTTATACCATTGCAAATTTTGTTGCTAAATGGGCTTGATAAATTAGAAATAAGTGGCATGACCATAGAATTGGCGAAGGCAAGAAAAACACCACCGCATAGGTAGCTGGTTTCTCAACTAAAAAAGTACAGTAAAAAATTACTTGTTATGAGTGGTTAGAAAACTTAATTTCTGAAATTGTTGAGTCACATCATACCTTCGCAATGTTTAAAGAGAATGCAAATGATAAAAAAGGCTAGTCACTAATAAACTAACATATTTTTTAAAAAGACTATATGGCATTATTATGCATATACATATTACCAAGATTAGGTCATATTATCCATTATGTGACAAAAGAAATTAAAACATCCATAAAATCAAAATTCCTTTTGAGTGGTTCACATGAAAAGAACATTTAGAAGAGGTGTTAAATTATATTTGGAATATATCTATAGATTGAATAATTACAAACATTTGCCAAATCACCAAGCGACGTAAATACGACCAGAACAAATTAAAAAAATGAAGCACTTATAGAAAGATCTGTTCATTATAATACACACATATTCTTTGTGCAACAATTTTTTATATATAATTTTTATTTTTTTATGAGCCCGTTGGCTAATTCTAGAAAAAAAAACTTCTCTTAATATGATTAATGATTCAGTTACCGTAGTTTTTTCCCATATCCTCGCTTTGTTTCCGATTATGAATCTAGGCTTCCTATGTTTTTATTTTTTTTTTGAATAAAAAACTGAAAAATTAAATCTTCAAAACCGAGACTGAAGTTATTTTCATCAAGAAAGGAGGGCAGTTGGATTCCCACTTGCCGATTGTTTTTCCTCTTTAGGACTTCGAGATTTCTTCTAAAAGAACGGCTCATGCCTAGGACTTTTCCTGGCCAAATTTTTCGTTATTCAATAGTTCCGCATGGAACAGAATCTTCCGGCACAAAAGGAGAATACTTCTGGTGAGGATTCCGACTCCGACAGGTTCACAACTTTGCTACCCAGAGTTCTTCCTTTTGGGACTATTTGGAAGACAATTTGTGCTTTTTGTAACATACTTAATAATGTTTTTTTTATTCTGGTTTATATTATTTTCTTCCCTTTATTGTTTTCCTTGCCTTCGTTCAGACTTCATCTGGATTAAAACTTGAGTTCTCAGTGTTACAATTTGGATGTCCTGACACACTATAGCCTCGGTTCATTATTTGCAATTTGCACTTATAACATGTGGAAATAGGCCAGATTGTCAGTGTTTCAATTTGTGCCAACACTTCAGTCGCTGTTTCAATTAAGAGAACCGATACCCAACCGAGATAAAGAAGAATTCATCAGTAGATAAGTATTTTGAGCACCAACTAATTTTGGTTTTGGGCTTCAGGAACTTGCAATCCGAAGTATGCCATCTTGAATTATATTAAATTATATATTTATATTAAGTGTTGTTCAGTGCCGCGTCGCAAGAGGCCAGGTGTCGCGGCACATGGACAGGCAAAAGTTTCACACGATACAGTGGCACCCACGCCTAAATGACACTGTTGTGGACGACATCATTTCGTACATCAGACGTAACCGGGTGAACGAGCTTTTAATGCAGGCAGCGGGTTATTGCCAAGTACAAATTAACAAATCGCGCTTATGACATTTTGTCTAGGACCAAAAATACTAACCAGGTAAGATCCATTTTAATTACAATTAAAGTGGAATGTAATTCAATTTATTTGATGCAATAATCAGTTGCATCAATAATTGTTGTGAATTGATGCAATAATCATTTCACAAGAATACCTCAGCCCATGAGGTATTGTTGTGAATTTCTATTGTATATTGCTCAAAATGTTGCCTATAAAAAGGTATTGTGCCATCTAAATAAGTCCAGTTTTGTACTTAATGTAGGTCGTATATTTGTCGTTTACTGCAGATGATTCAATTTAAAACAGATCAATACAATGTATCTTAACTTATATGATACAAAAGCGTACACTTCAGATTATTTCCAGTAAAGATAAATATTCAGATCAATTATATTCCCAAACTAAACAGCTACTGTGTAAAAAAATAAAAATATTACATAGATATTAATAGTTAACATGTTAGAGAATTACTAAAATCACAAGAATCCTTCAACAGGATTTTTTGATAAATATAAAAGGCTAGTTCTTTCGTTAAGCACAAATGGTAGATACTCATTTATTATAATTAGGCATCATTTGCACACCATCTAAAGCGGTTGTGGGATAGATTAATGATTTTAAAACAACTAACTGTTTTAAACCTGCCTTTTACACTTATTTGTCACATTAGAAACTATTTATATACAGAATGCACGTAAATATATTTGAAGTATTCTCAAAAGATAAAAAATTATCTTCTATCTTTAGAAATGCTATTAAATAAACTTAGAAAGAGACTATTACCAGATGACACTAAAAAAATAACAACCAAATTGTCACAAATGTGACATGTTTATTTACTGTTTGAAAATTTTTATTTAAGCCACTTTATTAAGATGTCAAACCCAAGAACAAAAAAACTTTGACGTTATATGAATTGAAAAAGCGTCCGATCGATATTGCGCGAACGCTCGGCATCGACAAATCAAACGTCCAACGAACCATCAAGAGGTTTGAAGAGCTCGGCCAAACTGGTCACAGAAAAAACGCGCGTGAGACTGGTATCAATTGGGAATCATTCCACCAAACAGCCAGACAGGATCTCCATTTCAAGCCCTAGAAACTCCAAAAAGTTCAACTCCCCTCCGACGACAAGTGCGTACGGCTTGAACGATCCAAACGAATGCTTGGACGCCACGCTCCTCTTCAATGGGAGAAAATCCTCTTCACTGATGTGAAGCTATTCACCGTTGAACAAACCCACACTCAGCTGAACGATAAGAGCTGGTCCGTGGAGGCCTCCGGTACATCGTATTCGTGGAACAAAGGGTGAAAATCAACAAGCACTTCTACCACCGTGACATCCTCGAAGCCGTCGTACTTCCGTGCGGATTGGACGTTCCAACAGGACTCTGACCCACAAGGCGAAAGAGACTCAGGACTGTTGCCGGATCCATTTTCCGAATTTCATCGCGTCGGCGGAATGGCCGCCCTACACGCCAGATCTCAATTCGATGGACTACAGTGTGTCTTCTATTTTGGAGACCAGGTCCTGTGCTACACGCCACAAAACTTTCGAGTCGCTGAAACGGCCGCTGCGTCGGGAATGGGAACGATTGTCGCCGGAAGAAGTGCGTGGCGCGGCATAAATTTTTCGGTAGCGTTTGGTGCTCTGCCGAGACGCGCAAGGAGGCCACTTCTAATCCGGCTGCGCATCTTGTAGTCAAAATAGTTGTTTATTGTTCTTTGTTGATAAATTTTGTTTCTATTGAAAATTAAACATTTTATGAAGTTTTTGCTAGAGGTCATTTTTTATTGTCACCCTGTAATAAATGTTGTTGTTTGTTGGTGACCGTTATGCTAATTGGTAAAAAATGCTTGTTGAGGTGTTTGGGCTTATCGGTCAATAGATCGTCGGCTGAGAATTATTTTGAACATTTTGAAGTCCCACAATGACAAATGGGTAGTATTTGAATTTAAAACTTGAGATCATGTTTTTTTTTACATTGAACAATGTGGCTATGACAGAGATAGTTCCATGTAATTCTTCAGTTTGCTCAATTACAGAGGTATATGTTTGTTCTGAGAATTGGGCATGGTACATTTTTATGCATTAAACGACTTGGTGATTTCAACTCAAATTAGTATAAATATGGACATCGTTCAAAATAATTCTCATGGCAACAGAAAATAGAACACTATTTTTCTTGGGCCAACGTTTCGGCTATAGGAACCCCTGATGATGGGTTAAAATACCCAAAACGTTGGTCCAAGGAAAATAGCATTTTATTTATACCGACAAAATCCAAGCACCTAAGCAGGCATATTTACTAATTTATCAATAAAGTTGTAATAATGCATGAATATTATCAACGTGGCTAGACTATCATCAACGTAATACCAAGTTAAATAATAACTTAAAAGCTAACCTGAAGTTTTCAGAGATTGTATACAGGGTGATCAAGTTTTAATTAATAAAATGGGACAATCATTAATGTCCAAACACCCAAGGACCGGTTTCAAGCCCATTAGCTCTCGTCAGCTGAGTTTGGCCTGAAATTAGCGACAGCGAAACCTAGAGCTAAGAGCTAATAGGCTCGAAACCGGTCCTGGGGGTGCCCAAGGTTGGCGAAACTCGAAATTTACTCGAATCTTACTGATTTTTTATTCGGATCATTAATGCAACGAATTCCTTCTCTTCCATATAATTACTTTCACTCGTGGGCTTACTCCTGCTGCAATATCTTGACTTCGAATTTATGAAACAGAATTTGAGATACGAACGGTTTTCAACAAAACATTCTAAAGAATATGGAAATAATAACTTTTTTATTAACCATCGCAGCAAAAAAATTAATTCTAACTGAATCACCCAGCATTTAGTTTGGAGTTTAGAAACACCACAGATATAGTGGAATGCGATAAGTTAGAGTATTCTTAAAAATTTAGAATATTTGCACTTAGCTCAAGAATTAGATTAAAATGGACCAACATGTCTTACCATTGTTTAACAGCAAGTAGTTTCATAATACATAAAAAGCGCCATTAGAGTCATTCATTGGTATTACTTCTTCTTTGAGTGTTCTATGAATAAAATTAACACTTTTAATATACATCCAAACGTACAAATAATTTTGAGAAAACTGAATATATTGATATTTTGATAAAATTCCTTCAATACAATAAGCTAAAACTGTTATATTGGTATTCCACCAAGCACTTTTCTCCGATTTATTGGCCACTAAATTTACTTTACGTTTCAACCAAAGAGGAGTACGATCCCATTAACTGTAACTGTTCGACCCAAATTTCAACTTGTACCAAGGATCTGATCCTAAAGCAAATCAAATACAAGGTTTTTGGGACCTGTACTGCACCTTTTGTCACTATGCTCGATGAATTACCAGTCAATAAAGTCAAATTACCTTGCAAATTTTATTGTGACAATTTATTTACAAGCTTACACCTTTTGGTACATACAAAGGATCGCGGGTATTATTGAAACTGTCCAATGGCTTCAAAAAATAATATGCAGAAACGTAAGGGAGGTGATTTCGATTCAATCCTTGATAGAGCAACTGACATTATTTTTGTAAGATGTTTAGATAATAACGTCGTAAGTGTGGCATCAACATGTTACTGTGTGAAACCACAATCGTTTGCAAAAAGATACTCCAAATGAAAAAAAAAGACTTATCCAGGTGCAACGTCCATGTATTATTGGAAAATATAACAATGCAATGGGCGGCACAGATTTGATTGATGAGAACATTAACCGCTTTCGAATTGGAATCAGAGCAAAAAAGTGGAACTGGAGCTTGATAACTTGGATTCTAGATGCGAACATACAAAATGCATGGATATTATACAAGAAATCTGGACACAAGTTGACACTAATGCTCGTGCCTCTTGACTTCGAACAGACGTTAGAAAACCTTCTAAGAATCCAGGTCTCCAAGAATTTGGAAAAACTTAAATAGAATTAGCAACAATGTTGTGTGTTATGTCCTGAATTGTATTACATAAAACATTCCGTAGCGCAAATAGAACCAGGCAATAGCATTTTCATGTGTAAATGCTTAGTGTTCAAGACCCAAATTTAAAAAAAATGAGCAAATGTTTCCTCGTAATTTTTAGAGACGATCAAATATTTATTTCAGATAATCTGCTTAAAGTGTACTTTAACGTAAAAAGGAAAACATTTGAAACTCGACTAGACATAAATGTTACCAGCCTTTTAAAATAAATATCCAGCTCACGAATTTTCAACCAATAAGAATGACTCTATAAAATTATGCGCTTATGGATGACCAACTTTTCATCTACTCATTAATATACAATCAAAAATGTTTAATGCGTGTTTCATGAAAATCTTTTTCGATGTAATTTTCACATAAGGCCGATATACATTAGTGTTTACATTTGGCACAATATTCTTTATAGTGCAAGTTAAAGCTGGCCATCCACCGAAGTGGGTTTATTGAATATCTTAAAATTAATAAGGAACATATTGTCCATTATATAGCCTTATAGTAATGTCTTTACATTTAAGTCACATTAAATACAGCGTAACGAAAACTTCAATCCTTAACTATGAGATATAGCACTGCTGTCAAAAAATGAGGGGTTTGCAAAATGGCTGTACACATTTCCACAACTTTCTTACGTGAAAACATGACGAATTAGTCCAATTGATCTAATCTGAAAGTGGACGGCTTTTCAATACAGTGCGGCAAAGTTCGGTTTAAAAAAAATATCAATTAGTTACTTTGCCACTTGAACATTTCGATCAGATAATAGATTTTTTTCTATGCACATTGGAAAAGGCTACTGTGAGACCTAACCAAATCCTATTTAAAATGAAATATTTTATGGTCCAGTTATAAGAAAAATATATGACCAAACACACAGAATTGCCTTTTTGAGGTAAGTAAAATGCTAAATATTTTAAGTTTACAATTCGCCGCAACTCTAATGAATAAAGTAACGTATTTACTTAGATAGTTAAAAAACATACATTTATTTAAGATAGCGGAAGTTTTGACGTTCGCTAACCTCAGGCACCCCCATAACCGGTTTCGAGCCTATTACGGCTCATCAGCTGGGTTTAGCTTGAAATTAGCGACCGCGAAACCTGAACTTGATTTACCCAATGCAAACACAAAGAGAGGAAACTATTAACATCAGCTGGATTTAAACTCAGCTGATGAGAGCTAATAGGCTCGAAACCGGTCCTGAGGGTGCTTGAGGTTAGCGAACCTCGAGACTTGCACTATCTTTCGACAAAATTCTTGCCTTTATTACATTTATTTATCGTATAGTGTACGATTTATTAGTCAAAATTGCATGATCAAATATACATACATACAAGTCTGCAAGGAATGCAGCTTAATTAATCTTGGTTAATTCCTCGTTTTTCTTTTAAGAATATGTGCTAGTATTTGGGACAGACGTATTACAAACACTCTGTAAATTCATTAAATGCGGCAATAATGAATACATTATCCAAAGTTTCATGTGGTGTTGTTCTTTACGTTGATTGCTTTCCTTAGTCTGCCGGATAAATATGGATCAGAGTACAGAAATAAGCGAATTTGTATCTTGGAATTTACATCACATCTTAACCAACAGGCACGTAGACGCGGCTGCAATTTAAAAATTATATTCAAAAACTATTATTTGCGGCTCAATGTGAGGATTGGATTCGATTTAATCACGTTTTATTCTTCAGCTCTGTTCCTTTGCTACTCCCGTAATGTATATTTCAAAACATTACTATTTTGTTAGTTTGCGATGATAGTTTTCATTTGTATTCAAAATTTTGTATACTTGGATATAAACAAACAAATTAATTGAAATAGGCAAGTGCTAATTTCGAGGTTCGCCAACTTCGGGCACGCCCAAGACCTGTTTTGAGCCTATTAGCTCTCATCAGCTGGGTTCAGTCCGAAATTAGCGATCCAGAAACCTGCACTTTATAATGCCAATATATTTACATCGGCGCGGAAACTGTAATATTACTGAAATTAACAAAACTAAAAATAACAAAATTACTAGAAAATAATTATTATCTGAGGGTTAGAGTTTGCACCTTTAGAATTACTAGCGTTGCAGAAATGTATTCATGCGATTCTTACATTAGTTACTTACCTATTCGTTCCATGCAAATTGAAATTTGACCTTAAAACTGAGTATCTACAATTTACCAGCGGAAGAGGCACTACTGCCTCTAGATTGATCTCCACGGCCCCCTCCAGCACCATCCGTCGTATTTAGCTTGGGAGACGGGTTTTTAGGACCTTGACTTCCGCTGCTGCTTAGTGCCATTCTTTGCATTTGACGAATTACAGCTGTTGCATGGTAAGCTTGGCGCCACCTATAATTTAATGACAGTTGCATTCTCAGATTAAACAGATGCATTTGTTTATGTTTTTCGATGGGAGCAATAATGGTTCACAGTCATATTAAAAGTAGGTACTTATAAAAGCTGCTTTGCCAGCTCGGTAATCAATTTGATATAGGTACATATATGAGTAGCATCAACAACAAAATAGCAAGACAACTGTAGCCATGAATGTATTTAGTGCTATATCTGTTTCGTTTGTAATAAGCGACAAGCAAATATCAATAAAATAACAGCGTTGAAATTTTAAATTACAAAAAATATTAGAATTTAAGGTGATAATTAAAAGAAAACATAATGAAACATTCATCATGACAACACCGCAAATGAGGGAAAGATCTGGTAGTAAAATTATAGTAAGGGGAAGTGGACTCGTATATACGACAATTTCTTGCAGCAAAGTTGTTTTGAATATATAAGCGAAGATCTCAAGTGAAACGAACTCAAATGCTTAAAAAAATTGCGTGACTGTTATGGCATTTTTTATTTCAAACATATAATGTAGATACAAAGGTTTGAAAATCAAAGAACCTTTACAGTTATTTACCACACATGTGGCTAGCGGCCAGGCGAGTTGGTTTTCCGATTAATTCTACTCTTTGTCAACATATCGATCGGTACCTAGTTTTACTACTTTCACCCCTACCACCTGATTCCCATTGCTAAATCCCAGATCGGTAGAATTTAATGTTGCTCCCAAACAAATCGGGAATTATGAATGACTAGCTTTGTCTATTTATTAATGTATTTGGTTGCTTTTAATTCTATATTGTTGACGAAAACATAGAATTGGTCAGCTAGTTTAGTTGAATCACTTATTCGTCGATAAAAATAATACTTTGGGTAGATTCGGAGATCAAGATGGGTCGAAAATGTATGAAAATTAACAAGTTTTAACACGTTTATACATAAGTATATGTTAAGGTACTAGTCCTCTGGATACTTTTGTCTCGCAACAAATCGACTGTTGCACTACATTTGTTGCCGTGCTGTGTTCACTAGACAACGAGTTGTCCGCTCCTTTAGTATACGCAACATTGTACCACGCATCTATGCTACGAATGATGCGCGACGCGTGTTCACTAGAATACCTAAACCGCGCACCAATCTAAATAGATTATTCGGTGCTCGCTTAGTCGACAATTTTCGGTTTGAAAATGTAAAAAAACTTGCTAGTGCTCTAATTGTGCTTAGAACTATAAACAAAAGTTCAAATCAACAAAAATCATCTAGCCCCTCTGCGTCCACTGTTGAATACCACCCTTCTTATTCTGCCCACCTTTTCCTATTATGAGCCGTCTGCATCTAGTTTGTCGTGATTATATTTATATCGTCTGTCCAGCGAGTCGGCGGTCTCCCTCTACTTCGTCTGTCATTCGGGTCATGTGTCCAGTCCAGTTTCATTTGAGCCTGACTGTACGTGTAATAACGTCAGTGACGTCACTTCTGATATGGTCTTTGAGAGACACTCCCAGCATTGACATCTTGATTGATTTTTGCGATGGTCAAGGTTAGCGCCTCGGCCCCATAGGTTATGACCGAAAATATGCATTGGTCGAGACTTCTTTTCAGTCACATTGGTATTTGATTTTTAAACATATCTCGGAGTTTTCCAAAAGCTGCCCATACCAGGTCTACCCTTCTTTGCGTTTGGTTTTCTCTGGATATTCGGACTTCGTAGGAGTCAACGGAGAACAACGATAGCGAGAGTTATACCAGAATGCGGCAATGCAGTTGATGAATGTCTACAGGAAAAGTATTTAAACATAGGTAAAACTAATTTCAAAATGTAAATCTCCATTTATTAATAATAATAAACGAGATTATATTACTGCAAATAATCTGTGGCACTTAAAGAAATCATCTCATCGTGCGATTCAGTAGAAAACTGTCTATTTGTCATCAGCCAAGTTGGTGCACGTTCATATTATTGTCTAGAGTGCAGAGAACTATTATGTGCCGTCATTTGCACAGATTGCTGCTGTACCACATTGGTTGATGGTGTTGACAGGTGAGGTGAGGTAGAAGTCGACTTGTCTGGTTCAACCATTAATATTGACTGCAATTCTTTTTGGTATATTTGAGTAAAATCTTTTTTATTTCCAGCTGAGCCCTCTTACAATTTCAATTTTTTAAGAAATTTTAATTCTAAGTTGTAATGTTTGATTTTAATTGTCAACTTAATTTTGAGCAGTTTCATGTTGGTCCATTTCCAGTCGTAATATTGTGTTTCTCTGATCGCCCTTCCGCTGGTTGGGATGCTCGTTCTGCACTCTTGGGGTTTGCTTATAACTTCACGAGTAAGTTTTTTTATATATTTTCTTCTATTGACTCCCCAAGGGTGCTTAACTCTACTTTTTGTATTTCCAGTGGCCCTGAATGTTTTCCCTCACTGAGTGCAAGATGATACAAAAACTAGTCATAGAGACGATTAACAAGCGCGGTGTGATGACTTTAATAGTCGAAAGCGTTAGGCCATATTTATATTCAAGGGTTGAATTTCTTTAGTGTGTACACACGCGCTTCCTTCTTTTCTAATATTATTAATTCACAATATTTGTGAAACTTGTTTGAATGAGGCCAAAAGACAATTTTTGTAAATTTTATAAATAAATAAATAATTAATCATATTTTTTAAATCAAGAATCAAACATTTTAAATTAACTTAAAAAAAGATCAGCTAAGATTTTCGTTCTAAAGGATTTCTTATCTATTCGGCATCCGTAATCGAATCGCATATAAGTTGCCATTTTTATTCGTGTTAAGGTAGCTTTAAGCGAGGCGTATTTGCACAGAAACCATGATCATAAAGGAACATATCAAATCACCAGTTTCACCCACAGCCTGACAAAGTCGAAACGCCGTCGTCTTTGTAAAAAAACTAAAAGTAAACTTTCGCTATGTAAAAATACACTTGGAATTACCTACACATGTTAGCAATTTTTCACCTCAGAGCGAATACAAAGAAATCCGAAATTTGAATTTAGAAACGGGATGCAGACAAAAGATCAGGGATGCAGACAAAATGTACAGCAAATGTAAAGTCTTGTGTTTCTACAGGGACGGATTAACGGAGGGGCTCGCAGGGATTGCAGCTCCCGGGCCCCAACATTGCGAAAACCGCCAATATTTGCAAAGAAACCATGACCATAAAAAACACTACAAAACAGCCTTTTCACTTTCACTCCATTTCATTTCAGTTTAGGGAAATTACTGTTTAGCACATAGTAACTGAAATCCTGTTGGTACTACCAAAAGCTGGTCCCAACACCGTTCGCGGAACGAAGGAACGTAGGATCGGGCTGAACAGGTCCTGAACCGACTTGCGCCCTAATTCGGTTCGGAACTGATCCTGAATCGCTGCCGCAAATAAAGCTACTAAAACCGTATCATGCGCACTAGATTCACAGAATAATCAGCTTTTCAGCGACTGGCGGTTAAATCCAGTCAACATTCACGGGGCACGTAATGGACATCGAAGAAGCCCTTTTACTGCATTATACTATAATATGCAAGAAAGGCAATGGAACGCCAGAATTTGTGGTGTGTGGTGCACCCAATTATTACAGAACTTGAAACGAAAGAAATTTTTAATTTGTTGTCTTATCACTCAGACACAATTTTTAATTATTTCCGAACGTCGACACGGTCATTTGATGAACTTCATGACATTATCGCGGAGAAAAAGTGTGTAGAAGCGATACGCAAATGCGATGCAGTATTTCATCAACGGAGCGATTGATGGTGAGTCAGGTACGTACAAACTATGTCAACTTTACTTAGTTACAATCTTTATTTAACAAAAAACAAGTACACACAATTTACTATGGCACAAATGATTTAACAAAGTTAAAATTGAACAAATTTCAGTTAACAAACCACATACGCAACAAATCAAAATTAATAAAAGTAAAAAAAGAGTAAATAAAAAAATTAGGTTGTAAATTCATCCAAGAGATCATAAATATCTTATTCATACGAACTAGGGGATACTTGGGATTGCGTGGCAAGATTTGTGTAAGTGGTAAATCAGGAAAAAATTGGGAATGTATTGCGGGGATAGAGATTTTGGGCACCGGAAATACTTGCGTTGGTTTAGATTGACGATAATTTAGACGACCTTAAAAAGCACTCGTACACACAGAACATCCGTCTTGGATGTATCTGTCTCTGGCTGTACTAGCGAATGGTGACACCATCTCCACTAACTCTCGGCAAAGATTTTTGGAAATTCTATAGAGCTTAACAAATGTATGCTCTGTTAGATCAAAGGGATTCCTCTTGTGCGAGGTGTCCCTTGGAACCCCAAAACATGGCATAATCCACATCCTCAGTTATGATGGTTATTTACGTTAACATTATTGAATTCCTCAAAGTTCATTTTAAAAATAAATTAAGAACAATCCGTTAAAAAAATGGATACACCCGTTTCTCACGTCAAACAAAACATAAATGACACATCACAAAGAAGCATAAATTAATAGCATTTGAGGTTGGAAACCCCTGGGAGAAGCCTTTTCTACTGGGCTGTACCATGTAATGATTTTGCCTTGCGGCGACCCACCTGGCTTTCGCCTTAAGGGTTTATTGTAATTCCCTCTTTCTAGCCAAACCAATGCCAAGCAATCGGGCTCGACGCAGCTGCAGCCAAACAGAACTCAACCGAAGAAGCGTCAGGCACCATAATGAGTCCACCAGCCGATGCAGCACAAGCGGGAGCCAGCACTTCCCGATGACCTTTATTTTCTCCCAATTTTACATTTCTGATTTTACTTCTTACGAACTGTTCCCTATGGTAACTTCTAAGCCAGTGTTCGGCACACGCCGAATGAAAAATTAAAATTAAACCCTACCCTAACGCGAGTGCAACAGTGGCTGCAAATGTCTGTAGCAGGTGCTACCTACAGCCAACTAACTGCTCGTGCCTAATCTAATCTACAGCTATAGCGTCCGCATCATGTCGCGTTGGCGTCCATATTACGCGCACTAATCGTTGTTTTCCGAGACTAGTCTAAGCATGCTGTTTACCAGATACCGTGCCAGACAGTCGCATTGTTAACGCGCAGTCCTGCTGCCACATACCCGCTTATCCCCGGGGCCTGTGAGACAGCCATAGACCTACAGCCTTTTTGGGTTCAAACTCTACCCTGCAACCCTCCACCAGTCCTCGTCGCTGACAATCTTTTCCGCGAATGCCCCGAAGGAGGCAACCATTCTCTCTTCCTTGCACCTTTCCTGATTTCTCAGTTGCCATTCAGGCGCCGCTGAGACAAGACTTGCCCTTGCTGCAACCCTAGCCGGTTTCTCGCATACCATACGAGCGTGCAGTGCCGTCTCATCGCCATGCCCGCATTCACATTCGCTGCCTCCTCCTAGGCGGAACCTGTGTAGGTAGGCCCTAAAGTTACCATGCCCGGTCTGCGTCGCCTTTTTTCCAAGAGCTAGCATTCCTTTGCCCACCCTCGAGCAGACCGAGTACAAGTCCCTGCCTTTATTGCTGGTTTCCCAGCCCCGCTGCCATTCCTCATGCAACCATCTTCTGCGTGCTGCTGCCACCTGTGCTTTGGTTTTCATTAGAGGAACCTCAGAAACAGGAGTGCTCCAGAGTGCTCTCCTAGAGGTATCGTTCGCGACACCGGCTCGAAAAGATTGACGGGTTTCCCAGCAAATCGTTACTTCTGTTCCTGCCTCCCTTGCATTGTGCAAAAGGCCTTGCACCGCAACAGTTTCCGCCGACCGTCGTACCAGTCGATAATTCCCGCTGCCTGGGGAACGACTCTCTTTCTCAACTTTCAACTTCAAGAATACCGTTTCGGCCGCCTGTCATAAAACCCCGCCTCACAGGAGGGATGCGATACGAGGGCTTTTTAAGGTCCTATCGATAATTTGTTTGGTGCAAATGAGGAGCATGTAGCATAGGGTGGATGTGGCAGAGCTGTAGCAAATGGTTGACGGACATAATAATTGCTGTACGCTGCATTAGGAACGGCCGAAGGCGTAATGTCAGCATGAATAGCTTACATGATTTACAATTTTACTGGCATTTTCCTGTCTTGACCCACTGTTTTGAGGTCACTTAGCAATGCCAGAAGGAAGTGACGCTCGTCATTCTCGTTCACTACCTTCTCATTAAGTTGCCTTTCATGCATATTGTTTTTTATTAATTGCAATATCTCTGCACTGCTATCTTTAATTTTCAACTTCAAGCAGTGTGGAAACTTCGAATTGTGTCTCTTGTACCGTAGTATACTATTTCCACGTAGATCCCGATCCCGAGGGTTTGTTTTTTCGTTTGGCGAGCTCACGCAAAGCAGCTTTGCAGGTTTTTCCACTTTTTTGGAGTTCCTTTCCTAAAACAACTAAATGATAGAGCTTTTTTCTTTATTTCAGATATGTATAGTTTCATTGCCACTTTAGATTTGAGTAAAATTATTGATAGCATTTGTAAAGCAGTCTGGGATGTTATGAAAGAACAGTAAATGGTAATTTTCCGAACTGCATTGAAGTAATAGATGGGAAACACATTCGAATTAAAAAAATCTTCACATAGCGGATCGCTTTATTATAATTACAAAAAATGTTTCTATCTTCAACTGCTTGCTATATGCGATTTCGATTATTGCATCACTTTTATGGATGTGGGTCATTTCAGAAAGAACAGTAATTCAGCTATTTTAAAAATTCAGTTCTCGTGGCAGCATTCAAAAATTTAATTTCTTACTTATGCTTTATTTTGTGTTTTATAGTTACAGGAAGTAGTAGAAAATCAAGAAATGAACTTACCTAATCGTTTTGATTTACTGAAGGCAATGCCTCGAAATCTTCTAGCATTTCCTTGCACACTTTTTATCAAACAATGCTGCTCATAAAATGGACGTGCTTTTATTAACGCAATAAACTTGTCATTGTCACAGGCGCACTCCATATTTTAACTAGGAACTACACTGACAAGTTGCTGCATGAAAAGTATCCTTGGGTGAACAGGTCCATATAGACCGATAGAAAATTGGTCCTCTAAACTCGTAAAATTGCCAGCGCGACTGGGATTGACGAGTCATCAAAATTGAGTCTCCGCAACTGTATCGGAGAAATATCCCTGTGTGTATTGCTCCACAAGGCAAAATGTTAAAAGTGTATACGCGTGTAAAAGGGCTGTAAGAGTCCTTTTACAGGAACAAGGACATCCCCAACCCAAAAACAGTCAAACGTCTTTTGCAAAAAGTGAAAAGGCCCGTACCTAAGAAATCCCCTTCATAAAATTTTTCTAACTCCCAGAAAGAACGGGACTTGTAGAAAAAATTTGGAAAGGAGCTGGGGCTTAAAACTCACCCTATGCGATTTATTTTTTGGCAAGAACTCTAAGCCATGACTGAACCAACCGACACTGAATGCTTGACCACTTTGCTGAATATGGCTAAGCTCAGCCACCCCACTGGTGGGGCGAACCCCATGACAAGGGACGCCCAGTGTTGGCTCATAGTTCTTTTGTGACATCGACGGACAATTTAAAGACAAAATGGCGGTCGTCTTCACCGCTTTCGGTAACCCATAACTGCATGGGATTTGACAAGAACCACGCGGCGCGTTAGTATGCCTCTGTGTATGGTTCCGTAAGGTCCTATGCTAAACATGTATCCGAGATACTAGTCTGCGCGCAACTGCATCCCCGTCCAAAAGGACTCTAAGCTGCACGCAACAGGGATGTTGAAGGAGGTCGAAAACATTGGACCGAAAAGATACACAGGGAAAAGAAATGTCTGTCGGTAAATCCATCAAGCCGATTGTAAGGAGTTTGATTTTCGCAAAAGTTTACGGCTGAGACACACCAAAAAATAAACGTGTTCGTCGAAGAGTGACCAGATGAATTGCGAAGAAGTTCAAGCAGACTTACCGTAAGGTGTGTACGGGGCTTTAAAAATATATCAATTATAATAAGAAAAAAATAGAACGATAGTGGTTAAATGAAGTAGCCGGGAAATATAACAAAAGTTTGACCAATATTAAAATAAAATTGGTTAAGCTTTTGCGACTTGTTTAAGTTTAATAGAACGTAAGCGGCTTACCGAGACTTTGCAAAATTTTTCTTCAACTGTTCAGATACAGTGCCATGAATGTTTTTACTTGACGCTTCATTGCCAGAAATCCAAGGATGAGCTAGTGCCTGAAGTAAATGTTATCATTCAAATAAAATCAGACTTTCGTTTGATAAAAATGAACTGTTCCATATTTGGTATAATACACACCTGCTTGCAACTGAATCGTTTTTCAACGTTGACGCAAATCAAGTTTTTGATAAAGTCTTTTGCAGAACCACTGATTTCATCCCAATAAGGAGAATCGAACTCAAATTCCCCTTTAAGAATTTGAGCGAAAAGATTCACATCGTTTTCATCATAGAAAGGTGGATATCCACAAAGTAATATATAAGAAATCACTCCTATACTCCACACGTCAATGGCTTTACCATATGGTTTTTGAGCCAATACCTCGGGGGCTACATATCCTGGAGTACCGCAAGCTGTTGCCATAATTCCACCATCTTCCATTTTAGAAAGGCCAAAATCGCTTATCATGATCTTGCTTTCCTTATCTGGGCTATAGTATAACAAATTTTCAGGCTTCAGATCACGGTGTACCACTCCTTGTTCGTGCATATAATCAACTGCTTCTAGCACCTGACGTATTAAATGGGCTGCATCTTTTTCAGTGTAGGAGCCTTAAAAATATATTTGCTATAAAAATTGGTGGTACGCAATGAAGAAAGGGTTAACAATTATTTAAATTTGTAAACAACAGTGAGAAATCAGTATCATCCCAGTATCCGCATCAATAGATTTTATTCATGCTGACATATTTTCTTAATTACATTTTAGCAAAATCAGAACTGCATGATTGATGATACCATTTACGCGTACACTCAATCGTTTTTTTAAGCAAAGTTGTATATAGTACGGGAGGCAGCGACCGAAATTTTGCACCGATTCCTATAAAGCTCACTTTTCCAATTTTCTAGTTTTGATATCAGAAATAAAGGAAACGACAGTCTGCCGCGCCAATGTGAGGGCACACATTAAGAACAAGTTTTGAAAACTGTAAATAAATGTTATTTAAATGCCTTATTCCTACAGGCATCAAACTTTGTAGAGTGGTCAATAATACCCAAAAATGCAGTATAATGATAGTCTACCGCGTTGAACGGTATCGGTACGGATCATAAGTCTACCGCGCACGCAAGGTGCTCAAAATAGTATGTATTGGTACAAGAGACGAAGTGCATGACGCAACTTCAAGCAGTGACGAAACTTCGGCCGGTTTATTTAGTCGATCTTTTACGATGCGCCGGCCTCCAGACGCACGCGCATTTTAATACTGTTGAACGATGCGGTGGGAAATTGTCAGAGATGGGCGTATGCATCTCTGAACTATCGCCAAAGCTATTTAGTGAGTGAAAGTTCTCAACTTCTCGTGTTTCATTCAGATTGATGGCTTGTCTCTTGTACGATCAACATCGCAAACTTCCTCTGTCACGTGTTTGTTTGTTTTTTCTTATTTGAAATTGGTTTATTGGGTACAGCTTGTTTCGAAACTTCAGCGTGTGTGGCTCCTGTTAAACGAAAAGCCCCGGTTTTTCACCAACAAAAAAGAAATTCGAGCACGTGGCTCCATCAGAGCCAAGTGCAGGTCCCCCCTTGCAGGGCTCCGGAAAGTCCAAAAGTGAGAGCAATGAAAAGTGCTCAGGAAGATCCGGCTACGACCGGTTCACAAAAAAGCCAAGTAAGTGCCTCTGGCAAATACCCAAAATCCACTCCTTACTCCTACTCCACCCACTCTTACAACACCAACCGAAAAGAACGTAACTCACTCCAATCTTAACTGAAAAAAGCCCTAGCCACAATCCAAAAACTCAACGCAAACGTAACAAAACTTTCCGAGAGGTTATCCGTACTCGAAACAATTGACAAACCCAACTAACATGCTACTCAAACGCCACCGAACCAGCCCCAAACGACTGAATCCATGGAAATCGATCTAAATTCCCGCCACTAAAGCCCGCAGCTCCATGGAACTTTCCAAAAACAACTAACAAGACGCTCCACAAACACCTCCAGGCTGAAGAAGCCCCCCAACCCACTCAAACTCCCAAATCAAAGACTATTGTCCCAATTACGGCCAAAAACCCGGCAGACTGGACCAAGACCCAAACTCTCCTAAATCTCCACAACATCCAAATCACAAATCCCAAAAAGAAGCACTCAGGCATATCTTTTATTCCCTCCTCCACGGACAAACATCGGAGTATCACCAAACTCCTTACTCAAAACGCCATCGAATACCATACTTACAATCTGGAGGAAGACAGAAAACTGTCTTTCATCATTAAAAGACTCGACTCCCACATGGATATCAGTGAAATCCACAACGAGATTCACGACCTAGGTTTCTCGCCAGAACAGACACACTTTTACCGTCTTGGAAACTACAAAAAAGTTTCCAATATGGTAAAAGTACTCCTACCACAATCCCAAACTTCCAAAACGTCGAACACCTATTCAACCTCCCAGTTCTTATAGAGCCCCAAAGAAACTCAAACACCCTCAACCTTAAACACATTCCCCAATGCAAGAAATGCCAAAAGTTCGGGCATTCCTTGACAAATTGTGCCTCCAAACCCACTTGCCACAAGTGCTCGGAGCCGCACTTTTACAAGGAGTGTACGAAAAAAAAGTGACCACCCAGCCAGCTATTTTCCCTGTCCCCAAAACCCCAATTTCTCCTAACAAACAGATGAAAAACGAAAAAGAGCCCTGTTCAACAACAAAGTTGAATCAGGCATTTCGTATGCCCAAAAAGCCCTTAACTCCAAAGTCAAACCCGTTAAGCCCCTCCCACAAACTACCACGCAAACCAAAATCCCGCCCAAACCAACACAAACTCAGCCCCCTAAACTCACCAAAACTCCAAACGCACAACTTTCATCCCTAAATCCCCAACTCCTCCAACTCTTCTCCGACCAGGAGATTGAGGCCAAAGTTAACAAACTTGCGGCCCTAATCTCCCAAAATCCAATCCTCCAAATGCTATGCTAAGCAATATCATAAAACCCCAAGGTGTCCATATCGTCTCCTGGAATGCGGTATCTTTGTACTCCAAAAAGTGGGAATTTGAGGCATACCTTAAGGAAAACTATGTAGACCTCGCTCTCATCCAGGGAACCTTCCTTAAACTTAACACCCACTTCCACATAAACAATTACATTACTTACCGTACAGACAGAGTCACTCACGGCGGTGGCACAGCCATAATAATCAAAAAGTCCATAGCTCATACACAAATTCCCCCTTTCAATACAATAATTGAAAATACAGCCATTAAACTTGAAATGTACAACACTTCAGTCCAGCTGATCTCCGCCTACAGACCTCCAAACAAAACAACCACCCTGTTAGACTATGAAGTCCTTTTTCATGCAAACGAAACCACTCCCCTAGCTGGAGACCTGAACAGCAAACACTCCAGTTGGGGCTGTAAAGGTACAAATTTTGAAGGCACCAGACTTCTAAAAATTTCCAACGAACTAGACTAACAAATTCATGCACCAGACGAACCCACTTACTTTCACTATGTCAAGCCAGACATTCTTGACATAGCTCTATCTACAAACCTAGCTCTCAATTTGTCAATCACAAATTCTGACTCACTCAGCTCTGACCACAACCCAATCAAAATCCTCCTAAACGAAAACTTTATACCAAACTCGCTCCAACACGCCCTAAGATTTTTCCTACAAGAAACAAATATTCCAGACGAACCAGTAAACTCAACCCAAGAACTCAACTCACTAAACAATTCCATCACCAAAAAAATCACCGAGGCCACTCAAAAAGCAACCATTTTCAAACCAAATTCGAACAAAAACCCTTTCGGCCTTCCTCTTGAAATCAGAAACAAAATCAAATTGCAAAATCGACTTAAGCGATTAGCAAAAAGAAACTCAGAGAATTCTCTCAACCGCCAGGCCAGTCAACTTACAAACCAAATTAGAAAACAAATTTCGGCAATTAACAACCTAAACTGGCAAAATTATCTGGAAAACACTATCACGAAACCTACAGACAAACTAAGACACATCACTCTACACAACGAAAACATCGCCTGGTCTAAAACAGCAAAATACTTATCGTATCGTACTCGACAAAAAACTAACATTCACCGAACATAACAAAGACAAAATTACCAAAGCAAGAGCAGCACGTGCAGCCCTCCACCCCCCTTCTTAATCGCAACAGTAAACTTACCATCAAAAACAAACTCCTCCTATACAAACAAATTATTCGACTACAGCTTCTTTACGGCGCCTCAGCATTTATTACGACCTGCAAAACCAACATAACTAAAATACAAACTATAGAAAACAAAACCCTTCGATCCATCTGCAGAGCTCCCTGGTACATACGCAACAAGGACATACACAAAGACTTGAAAATGGACACTATCCAGGAATTCCTGACTAAAAAACACTCCAAATTCAAAGCCAAAGTCCAAAATCATTCAAACCCACTAATCCAARACACCTTTAAAAACACCCCACCGCAAAATAACCAGGGTCAAAAATCCATCATRGCCMCCATTTTTGTTTTACATATATATATATATATTTCGAAAAAATTTCTGAAGCAGATTTCAGAAAACGCTTTTGTTTTTCAAAGGAAATTGTGCAAAATGTTTTGTTGTCATTAATCAATCACCAGGAACYAGAAAATTCACTTCTTTAGAGTATTTTTCTTTGCAATTAGCCAAAATCAAACCCCAGATACGCTTTTGAAAGCATTGAGCTATACAACACTGCAATCCATATTCTCATGTAATTCTCCATTTTTGAACTATTGCGTTTTAAAAATCGAAGAAATCTCTATCTGCCTACTATGGATTTTAAATTGAATCTGCTGTTCACTTTACCAAAGTGACTACCAGGTGACGACGGTGCGTATGAAATCCGAGTTTTAGATCGATCAATACCCCACTTTTTCAGAGTCGTTTCTAATTACTACAGTGTTGCCCGTTGCCGCAAGGTACTCTTGAATTATACAAGGTGATACCTCTGGACTCCACCCAACATCTGGAGGTGTTGTCTAGCGGTGTTTAGTACAGAAAAATGTAATGGGCAAGGTAATCTGCCTAATTAACATTACGTAAATACCCGTTGCTTCGTGATTATTAAAAACTCCGGTAAACATGTAATTATACAGAAAGTGATAATAACATAGACAAAGGTAAACGGTAAATTGAACAGGATTCGTTGATCGATGGAACGTACTTTCTAAATGTCAATTATTGTCATCATAATTTCTAATTGATATGTTTACAGTTTACAAATAAACATTCATTTTTAATTCATTCATTCGTCTTTAATTCCAAACAAGTT